GACTACAGTTGGAGTATAGCAGCCGTCGCGGAAAGAAGAACCGGACATGTGTGTGATTGTGTAATTGGGAGTGTGTGATACAGTGATACATAGCTCCCCTACTGTAAACGTGTAGACTACTGAAGGCAGAGTGAACTGATTTGCGCATAGGGTTATAAATCGTGAAACCCCGCAACAGTGTTAACAGATTAATGCGATTAGGGTTATAAAGTGTGAAACCCCGCAACTGTGTGATAAGTAATTGTAGCCGTTCCTTGTAGATTGTTAAATAAACCAATTAACCATCTCTACGGCGTCTTCAATAACGAAACACGTTACAATATATAGTGTGACGTGTATGGCGTAGAGGGAGGTGGGGGTCGCGTGAACTCTGCGATCTCGCGAGTGACGTCACATAACCCCACTCCGTCCATAAGTGTGCAACGCTCGGTAGACACCCCTTTCCCCGCGGTGACATAACACGGGACGCCGCAGTTGCTACATAGCCGTAAACAACTCACGGCAGCGCTGCCCAACAACGCCTTTGTAAACACGGCGGGGAGTCCGTACAACGAATGTTCCTAGGCAGTCGGTAAACACGTTACGCAACAGTGGTGCCTATTACATAACTTTTTTCTGTGTTGTTCGTAACAGTGAGTTACGAGTTAGCCAGGGAGTCAGCAGTCAGTCAGTTTGAAGTGAATTAGTAGTGTGTGATCAGGAGTGACACAGTTAAAATGCAGCAGCCGCCGAAGACATCTGAAATGTACCCGTCGCCGGAGACAGTTGAATTGGAACAGTCGCCGAGTTCAGTTGTAGCGGAAAGAATACCGGAACGTGTGATTAGAAGTGATAAGAGTGAGAAGCAGATGCTTGGCTCACAAGAGAAGTGTGTGATACAGTGACACTTGTATAGCTCCCGGATCGTACTGTGAACACATGTAGACTACTGAGGACAGTGTGAAGGGATTTGTGTGTAATATTTGTAAAGTGTGTAAACCCGTAACAGTGTTATAATTAATTGTAGCCAAGACTTGTAGGTTGTTAAATAAACCAATTAACAATCTGAACGGCGTCATCAGTAACAAAACACGTTAGACAAATAACTTCTCGCCGGTCTTCGATCTAGCGAATTTATTGCACACTTTTATCCACACTTAAATAACTCACAACTTCAGTATCCCAATTACTTCTCCTGCTGTAGTCACTTCCAGGCTCCATTCACTCAAAACAACTCAACAACTCATAACTGCTAGACTTCAGCTCATACTGAATACTCAATACTGGCTGAATAGTGTTCGCTGCTCCTTATATAGGCACGGCACGGACCACATAGAAAACACATTGTTGCTTGGAATCAGATAGCAGGTATTGTTGCCGACGTGTTTACCGAGTGTTGCGCAGCAACGGGATGAGTGGGGGTATGTGACGTCACTCTCACTTCCTGTTCCGTCATCCAAGCATTCACAGAGTTGTCGCCTAGCAACGCGCCGATAAAATCCGCAACTCTCACGTTACGCGCGTACCCCGAGGCCTCTGTGGCTCAACAGTTCCTGCATAGAGCCAATACGTCACATTTCTCCCTCCTTAAGGCTGTTCGTGCCGAATAGCCTAACGGTGCATCCCCGTTCCTATTCTTCCCGTTGTTCCCGTGGACTCCTGCTAGCAACGTCTGCATCCGGTTTTGCCGTTCTCCAGGTCTCTTTTGCGGTGTTTATTCTAC